TGCCACTCTGGACATATGTGTTTGCATAAATAAAAACCTAAATTCATTCTATGTACAGTTTATGTTATAAAGACAGTCACTGTTTGTTTTGTATTAACCACATCAATATGAAATGTGGATGCTGTAAAACAAGGCTCCTTTAATATTTCCCAGATGTCCTAAATATACAACCAGGATTAAGACTCACAAAATGTATGCAATAATTGTACACATGCACGTTGTACGATATTATTTCATTTTATTTGAAGGTGATATTTGCATTTTAATGTAGCCGGTTCTGTAAGTTGCTATCATGGTAGCTGTATGCCCCTGAAGTAAATTATAGTACTGTTATTCCATGCCTCAATGTAATTGTAATTCAAATGTCATATTGTGTGATGATAACAATACTTGTGCATAAAGTAACATTCATCAAGTAACATCTGTAAAACATCAGATTACAAAACATGTACCGCAGAAATCAGATTACATATGTTAATAATAACAGTTTCTTCACTGAATGCAAAATCATAGATAGATAGACAGTAGTATTTTTCCCCTCCTTCCTTCATTTCCCTGCTCCCACAGTTCACTTCCATACAAAGATAGTTGTATAATTAGAGATGGTACTCGCGCATTATTATATTGTCACACTCACTAATACTTGTCTCTTTCGTTTGCACGACAGTTTGAAATTGCACCGACACATACGTATGTTTATACGAATTAAATCGACATAGTAGAGAAATCTTTCAACTCTGTATTTAATTTGTTGTGTTAATTATTGGCAGACAGGGTTGGCAGACAGGGCCTCATGTTTTGATATGCTCAAATAATACTCGAATTGAAAGGTTATAATCGATTTTCACAAGAAGAATTTACACTTTGTTTAGAAGACTTAAAAGGTGCACTCCCTTCCTATGGATCATTTTGCATTGAGGCGGTAGTTAAGTATGCCGTCTACACTCGGACCTAATGCCTGTTAATGTCTCTCATTTCCATATGGATGCGTTTCCCCCTTTTAAAACTTGTTAGTTCTGGGTGCTCTCCTTATGGGAGGAAAGAGGGGGGGGGGGGTATAAAACATACAACCAAACCTGACAAGCATGGCGTAAGAAGCTACTAATAAAAGGATTGCTAAAGTCTAATGTGTTAGGCGGAAAGGCACAGATACCAGATGTAGTAGCATGGATATAAACCACAACGCAACACGTCAACAACCGTATTAGGGTCGAAAGCAAAAGAAGAGGAGGAGGAGAAAGCAGAAGAAAAAGAAGAAGAAACAGAAAAAAAAGAAGAACAACAACAACAGCAACAACAACAAAAACAACAAAAACAACCAGAACAACAAAAACAAAAATAATAACAATAATAACAACAAAAACAACAAGATACAAAACAAATCTGTTAGAAAATGTCAGCCATGCAGTATCGTCTGGAATCTGTTCTGCATGCCCTCCATTAGCATAATATTATAGTTGTTTCAATTTTTGACGTTTTAAAGTTCAATCATTTTTTCATTACACGTTCAAATAAAGATGCACCTTCAGCTATCAGGGAACACGACTGACTTCATTATGAGTTTTTTTGTGTGTGTGGATTAAACTGAGAAGAGTCAACTCTAAGTGCTACAGGTACAAAAAAAAAAAAAAAAATTATGTAAAAACAAAATTATGGAAATGCCACAACAGGGCATGAGGCCAATCTACCGCCATTAAAAAATGAATTTGTGTGTTGTTATTGTTGGTCTGACAACATATCATAAAAGGCCCTCACAAACAGCGCACCAGGTAAACCGAGAAAACATGGAATGGAAAACGTTAGAAAAAATTGTATAAGTATACAGTGTGTCCAGGGTCAAGGAGTCTAGAAGAGCAAGAATCAAAACCACATATCTTAATGGAACCCTAAGCGGTAAAAGCGGAAGTGAAGAAGAAAAAGGCAAGGGCGAAGAAGAAGACGAAGAAGAAGAAGAAGAAGAAGAAGAAGAAGAAGAAGAAGAAGAAGAAGAAGAAGAAGAAGAAGAAGAAGAAGAAGAAGATTAAGAAGAAGAAGAAGAAGAAGAAGAAGAAGAAGAAGAAGAAGAAGAAGAAGATTAAGAAGAAGAAGAAGAAGAAGAAGAAGAAGAAGAAGAAGAAGAAGAAGAAGAAGAAGAAGAAGATAAGTTAATAGATATTAACATGGAGAGATGCAACCAGAATTGCAAATTTCAGAACCTATTATATCTCCCTGCATACCAGAAGCGGTACAAAATTAAGTTTGCGTGGGAGGCAGGACGGGGTATGTACTAAACAACAGATGGTCATGTGAGGTCACATCCGCACTTAGCGGATTTTAAAAAAAAAAATCTAAGCTTTCAGGTCGAACCAACTAAATAGTTTTTTTAAGCGTTTATGTGTGATGCAAAGGCTGCCTGTGTTGTACAGACCCCCACCACCCATCCATTACCAATTGGTCCACAAAAATATAAATCTAGTATCTTATCTGCGTAAAAATTTCCCTCTGCTCTTCTTTCTCTTCGGGGAGCGGTGGCATGTGAAGCAGCCAGAACAGTATCAGCATTTCAAGAAAGATATATCAAAAATGACTGCGAGCTGGATCCTCCAAGCAGCTGTGTCCAAATGGCATCACCACTCTGTGCAAGAACTTGTGCCAATATTGGCAGTATCAACCATCTGTCACTTGTGAATTTTAAAAGACATAGAGGACAAAGAAATGTTGAACCAAGCTTATCCGTGACCTAGTGGTAAAACTGTTTGCCCCTCACTCTAAAAGTCGTGGGTTCGTTTAGCGGCTGCGTAGTTTGGTTCACGAGTGCAATTTTTACGGAGACCAATGAGAATCGTCGTCAGTGCTACAGTGTTCATTCTTTGCATGACACTCTTGGCAGACTACTAGCTTTTTTTGCAGAGAGAGAGAGAGAGAGAGAGAGAGAGAGAGAGAGAGAGAGACAGACAGACAGACAGAAACACACACACACACACACACACACACAGAGAGAGAGAGAGAGAGAGAGAGAGAGAGAGAGAGAGAGAGAGAGAACACATGGGATACAATCGGTTGAAGTAAAGCTGGCTTTAAATTTAACCTTTGACTTGTGATGGACTAATAAAAAAAAAGCAATTTATTTTCAAAGAGGGATCCATGCAACGGCTGGAAACAAAAAGCTGGCTTCTAGTCGGTATGATTATTTGCACAGGTAAACATATAATTAGAGTTAAGAAAATTGTATGTTTTCATTGCAAATGTAAGTGGCCATTGCTTCAAGACGAGTTTCACGTCATAACATAACACGATCCCAGATGATAATCCGCGATTGCTTAACGACATCCAAAGAGCTGAAAGGCTTAGAAAAACAGATCCAGGCACTATTGTGTTATATTATATTAGACTGTATTATATTATATTTTTTGTATAATATAATATTATATACTATTATATACAATTACATTATATATTATATTATATTTTATTATGTTATATGATATTCTACTATATTATATTATATTATATAGTGGATTATATTATAGTTATATTATATTATATTAATTATATGTATATTATATTATATTATATTAGTATTATATTATATTATATTATATTATTATATTAGATTAATTATATTATTTATATTATATTATATTATCTTATATTATATTATATTATATTATATTATATTACACTGTATTATATTATATTATAATTTACTGTATAATATTGTATTATATTATTATTATATTTTATTATATTACACTGTATTATATTATATTATATTATATTATATTATATTATATTATATTATATTATATTATATTATATTATATTATATTATATTATATTATATTATATTATATTATATTATGTTATGTTATGTTATATTATATTATATTATATTATATTATATTATATTATATTATATTATATTATATTATATTATATTATATTATATTATATTATATTATATTATATTATATTATATTATATTATATTATATTATATTATGGCATTGCATTGCATTGCATTGTATTTGGACTCAGTGAGTATGCTCATAAAGATAGAAATAGACTGGGTCTAAAGACAGTGGTTTGAATGTCAGAGGTGGTCGGCGCTGAAATATGCCAGTCTCATATACGTGTCAAAAACGCGTGCAAAGAAATAAGCAAGCTGATAGGTTTGCAGGTGAGGTTACTGTGGAGGGAGAGCGTGACATGGACTAGGCTGATATACTTAATACTCCACAATAACTGAGACGTTTGCGAGAACCAAGTGAATATGCAAACATGACCACGGTGCAAGAACAACATGTTAAACGGGGTGTGGTCAGACGAGAGCACTATGCATGAAGCCAAAGAGGAATAAGAAACCAACACAGAACTGGAGTCGTCAGTCGCTATACGCTGCTAATTTACTGAGGGCATCCTGACATTTACTGACTAAATAGTTCGATATCCAGTAAGGAAAGTCATACAACTGAACGAAAAGTATATCATAGAGCTTCAACATACAACAACCAAAAACAAAACATGAACTATGCGGCTATGGAGCCTTCTTCAGCACTTCAATATAATTGATATTACTACACAAATACACAATATCACTTATCATCTTCGTATTTCGTTTCAGCCAGGTCGATGTCAAGACAACAGTTTGGCAAGCCCCGTTTGGCCTTGAAAATAGTTATCTGGGGGCTGTCACTCGAGGATAAGATAAACTGTGTAGGCAGTGAAGCCCCCTAGGGTTTAGATGAAGCTGTATTGGCAGTTAAGTCCAATAGCGCCACAGTTCCCAAGGTGTAAAAAAAAAGCGATTTTCGAGAGACTTGCGAACTCTGTCGCTGGAATGGCTAGATTTAATGGCTGTCACCTCCATGTCGTGGACACTTTGGTGGTCATGGGAATTGAAATGCAGTGGTATTGGTTTACTGGTAATAACTAGCTATGAAATCATACTTTATCATATTATAACATATAATATTAAATGTTAGTCTATTTGTATATTTATTTACAGTCATTATTCCAGAAATGAACGCCCCAGAAAACAACTCACAAGTACCTAGCGATGTGGATGGCATATTTAGATACAAGACTATCTTCCCTCTTTCCATAAGTGCTTATACAACACTGGTGTTTCAATGGGTCGTCTACACTGTTGTTTGTCAAACTATTGATGTTTTTGGCTTGGTAACAAACATCATCAACATCGTTTGTTTTGTCAAACAAGGTTTTAAGGACCCAGTCAACATAAGTCTACTTGGTAAATTATTATTGTTAACATATTACTAATAGTATTATTTAATACATAAAATGTAAAGCACAGTGTAAGAGTTTAAACTGTACAGATGGTCCCACAATTTCATCCCTAATTTTGCCAGTGAAATTCACACAATGCTATTCATTCACTGTTTCCCTTGCAAAGGCACAACACCAATTGTTAAAATCGGCCAACAAACATTTATTGAATGTGCAGGTCACAACACAGACCGCTGAGGTATCAGGCGGAAAGCATTCCAAATGCAGTGCACAACCCACTGTAACATACCACACATTAAGCTCAGTGGCAGGACAATAGAACCCTGGACTTTAAGTTTGGAGAGGTAAATGCTTCAGCAAACCGTGGCCAGAAGGAAACAACACCTAAAGTCTTCAACAAAGTGTCAGCATATATGCCGTATTAGACTTGGATGTCCAACTGCAAAGTAAAAATTAAAACTCACTTAAGTAACTTTAGTCTCAGTGGGCATATAGTGCTGGCCTTGAATTTTGATTGGCCAGTTGGTAGTTCAAAAGCGTTTTAGTCAATATCCCTTCTGACGTTTTACGTTGTGGAAATGTACCTAACGGTTACTTTAACATCTGTTTACTTTCGAGCCATTTTAAAAATCCTTTTTACAAAGGATTGTACCATATGACCACCCATCTGGAGGGCAGGCAGTCTGGCCACTACCTTACCACAAATCCCAGTATATTTCATAAAAAGTAAAAAAAAGTAAAGATCCCTTTCCACGCCTCTAGGCGTATCGGGCATATGGGAAGAGCGACCATATTTTTACAGACCATCAGCACTCGGTGGGTAATGTGGTCAGCATTACGCCGGCTGTCTTTACTTTCCCAGGACAGCCCATCCTGGTACCAATTTTAGGAGTATATTTCATATTGGATGATATAAACAATGTGACAGGTTATTGATGTTCTCAGAAACTTTATGAATTAAACCACACCATACAAGGGTAAGTTATTAATTAGGCTAGAAAGGGTTGTTAAATTAGTTTTTCAAAAATTCAGACGATAACAACTTTAAAACATTGTATTTTTACACATACACTGTGCCTTTATTTTTAAACATAATTTCCACCAACATTGATGTACTTGTCCCATAGTTTTATCACTCTTCCTAAGCCTGCTGCATAGAGCTGCGTGCTCTGCTTTCTAAACCCCATTTTCACTTTACATGCAAATTCTGTGTCATTCGTGAACTGTGTCCCGCCAAGGTGGATTTTCAGAGGATCAAAAACCATACGAGCACTCTATTGCAGCTGTTGCAGAGTCAACCGTTACTGGCCTGTCACCTCTCATCATCTTCTCCACCCGCTGCACAGATGCATCTGTTGCAATCTCAGGACGACCATATCGGACTTCATCAACAATCGCAAAGCGTCCTTGAGAAAACTTGTTTACCCAGCTATGAAACGCTTTACGAGATAAACATTTGTCAGCAAAAACAAGATGCATCCCTCGTGAATGCCCTTTGCATGCAGCCCTTTTGCCACCCCCCTCACTCCCTTCCCTTACAATCCTATCCCTGCTCCCCCCCCCCCCTCAAAAAAAAAAAAAAAAGCAGCACGTTGTTCTATAAGGGTGCACTCTGTGAGTGCAGTCGCCATTATGTTTCTGTTTTGCACATGCGCATGCAACATCAAGCGCCACCTAACGAGGGAGACATGAAGTTTGATGTTGCTGTCACCTAAAGACACATTTCGAAACCACCGACTAAAGGTTCCTGCCATCACATAACCATTTCTGACTTACTTATTGACTTTCCTTCAGAGGGTGGAGAGTATTTTGGATACTCTCATATGCATTTTTCCAGTGTGGATTCCAGGTCCCAAATTTAGAGAACAAATAAGAGACCCAATCTCCCCCCCCCCCCCCCCACTTTTTCTTCAACCCTACCAGCTTGTCGTAGAAAGCGACTAGTTAGTTCGAGTCCTTCAAAGTCGGACTGTATCGATCTGGAACCGTTAGACTTCATATAAATAAGCTAGATCTGCAAAACGGATGTGTACACACAACTCAAGTTAAAGGTCAAAATCCAGGAGTGGACGAACAACCAGAACTTTCCACCGGAGTTATCAAACGGTGAACACGAAGAAGAATGACAAGTAGATATACATACATTACTCTACTGTGTTTGAATATCATTTTGTCAGTTTCACTGAAATTATTGTTTTGTTTCATCAAATTTAGGCTTGGCCATCTCTGATCTTGGCTGTCTGATCACACTGATATGGACAAACATTTGCCTTAACCCAGCTTTCAATTCACTGGAGTGGAATTTCGACTCTATAGAGCTTAGCTACTTGACAGGGGGAATACCACATGTTACGTTTGGTCGTATCACTAGCTGGATCACCGCTTTTATTACACTAGAGAGATGTTTGTGTATTACAATGCCACTAAAGGTTCGTTTAATATAAACACAATGCAAGTTCCTAATGTGTGACTTGGAATCTTCATTGACAGTGAAGAGCTTAAGACAGCTGACCGTTCCACACATACATAATCCCCGGCTTATAAAAAAAAAAATACCAACAATCGTTTCGGGGCCTTTGGAGAAATGTTTGGGGGAGAGAGAGGGGTGGGGAGGGGTGGAGACCCAACATCTAATTACAAAAAAGCCAGATCCGTAAATCGGACACACGCTAGACTCACACTCTGGAACCAAATTTAAGTCCAGAAATGGACGGAAGCCGGTGAACGCGAAGAAAAAGGACTAAGAAACTAACATTGAGAAATGTAGGTCAGCAATGGCAGTGGGAAGGTTAACAAAAAGACTGTGGGAGAGTTTTTTGTTTTGTATAAACACTCTTGTCTATCAAACTAGTGCTAGTGACTTCATCACTAATTATCGTAGCGAAATGTGAGGAAAAAACCAGAATAAAGAGCTAGAAAGTTCTCATAGGAAGAATAGGTGGTATAGCATGGTGGCCTCACGTTTCGATGAATTGGAAAATCCCACCTGCACCTCCTCGTGTTGGAGGACGGAAACCAACCTTGACGTGGCTAACACAGTCCTATAGATCGGAATAAGTGGACCACACTTCTGGTATTATCTACTGTTAACAATAACATCACAAAGTAGGGTACACACCCAGGCATTATAGAAGAGTGCAAAAGGTTGAGATGCTCAGCCGTGTGGATGTGAAAAGCAAGTGGAGACTACCACATTATATATATATGTATGTATATATATATATCCCCAGAAACTTAACATGGATGATGAAACAGTATTAGAGATGGATAGAGTAAGGGAAACTTTCAGGTGTGCCGTTAAGAGAGCGACGTTCTGTAAAGGAATTACTCACTAATGATGATGATCACACGGTGGAATAAGAAAAAAACTAAAATACTGGGAAGAACACGTATTACCAGGGAAATGAAAAACGGTTGTACACGCAAAAATCAGGTCCAGGTGAAAGCCAAAAGTCCAAGCGGACGATTAACCGGGACCTTCCACTGGAATTCACAGCCGGTGTTCGATAAAAAAAAAAAAAACAGTTTTGAAAATGGTCACTTTGCGAAGGCTTTGAAACACTCGCAATACTGAGAATGGTAGAACTTTAAACGTGAGTTTCAGATGTAAAGGCATTTTACAAAAACAGGGCATGATCAGTTATTAAGATAGTTAAATGGTAACAGAATACCAATGATCATTTATCATGGTGACGAAATCAGGAAGAGAATGATAGTTAAGGCGAAAGTGAAAGCAGACAGGTAACATGATTAACCCTTTGAAAAAAATACTTTCGATTGCACAAATAGCCATAACATACGATGATGCATTATGGAACACATTTCTTAATTCGAGTGGCTTCCTAGCCACACTGGCAATCACAGTAGACTAATATTATATTGCCATTAAGCACAATGGAACATGATTGTCAAGAAATGTGGACAGTTGTAAAACAATTTTCGCTTCGCAGTTAACGTTAAAGCGTGTAGCTACACCCGAAAACGATCCAAGGTTCATTGATACAGATATCACCCGCCTCCATTTATCTCTCTATTTGGCCTTCTCTTTCCAGTTGATGAAACCACGTGTTTGTAGATCTGTCTGGATATTATCTCTCCATCGTCTTCTTGGTATGCCTCGTGGTTTTCGACCATTCAGCTCCCCTGTGTTTACAGTTTTTACCTCACTGCCATCTGACTTTCTCTCAGAACGCCCAAGCCTTTCGAGTCTATAAGCCCTCATGATGCAGTTGTTGAATGGTGAATTACTCAGATTATAAATATCTTTGCGTCTTTGATAGGTCCAACAATTTGTTGTAAGTTTGTAAGGCTTCATCTTTTTTAGTTGTACTCCAAGTTTCAGAGTCATATGCAACGACTGGTCTTATCAGCGTTTTATATATTTTGACCTTAATGTTGCGAGATAGAGACTTTGACTTCAGCAGTTGTTGTAGGGTATAGTACACTTTATTTCCACATTGTATTTCCATATTTTTGTCCTGAGCATGTTGGAGCAGATTAACTTTGCACCCAATCACTTATGCTTTCGCTCGTTTATTTTTCACACCATCGAGTTGTCTATGGCTGAAGTTTATTTCCTTTGCCTGTCTTTTTATTATCATATTTTTTGTGTCTTTTCGGGGATTGAAACTAATCCCATTTTGTGAGCTGCTTCTTTCAAGAGAGTCAATGTTTTTACATTCTCTAATTAATTATTTTCAACGATATCCACGTCAACTCATAAGCAAGTATTCTTGTAGTTTCTCCTGCAGTACACTCTTCTTTCAATTGCTTATAGTTTTCTCCATGGCCACGTTGAAAAGCGGGACCAAAGCTTTAAACCAAAACTGAACGGGGTAAATACTAGGTCAAAGATAGTGCGTATACTGTTGTTACTGGGTCTGCGCACAAGGGGTGCTTCGTTTACTCTCTCCACCCCTTTAAACCATTTAGATCCATTACAACATAAGAGACTGTTAATTTTCATATTCAGCCTGCCCTGATCATTACTGAATGAAGAGTTAGTTGCTAGGATGTTCCTATTAATAAGTAGTTAACGAGATTTGTTCCTTCCTTCGTCTATGTGGGAAATCTAATAGTAATTATTATAAACTTGTTTCTGCTCTATCAATTTCATTGAAATAATTTTTTTTAGATGTTCCAATTTGTCTACGTAGTGAATAAAAATGTTTCTTGTTTCAGATCCGTATGTTGCCCGCATGCTAAACATTTTTTTCCAAAATTTTTATGTCTTCTCTTTTCCCTCTGATGTTAAACCATAGACTTTTATTGTTTCTGAAATTATATTGTAAAGATGGTAAATTACTTTTCAAAACATTACAATACATTATTACTCCCCTCGTATTCGATCTTTAAGATGAAGCCAGCGCTAATGTTTAAGCACATGCTGTTTTGTCATGTCTACTCATTCCTTGATGGATTTGTGGTTTGAACAATGGATCAACATCTTGGCACAATGGTATTAACCCAGGAGTGCTCCGTTCTTCTTCTTACTTATGTCTGAACCCGAAGAAGCTCAGCACAGTACACAGGCTCTGTACCACCGGCAAGGATCCTGAAATACTTTGGGTACATTTTAAACTCCAGATTTTGCCCGGGCAGCGCCGTTAGACTACTCGTTTCGATTTCCAACTTCCTAGGAATGTTTTTTCTTACTTGTGCAACAATGCATATGGGCGTCCGATTTGACTACCCAGAGACCAGGGGGAATTACTAAAAGTCCAAGTTCACGTGAACAAATCCCAGTCCTTTCCAAAGAATTAATCCGGAACCTCTTGCACTCAAGGCGGACTCCATGCCTCGAAACCACGCAGCCCCTCATTCCTTGAAATTTTTTCACTAATAGCTGTCTCTTGTTATCTTTTCTTCTTCAGTCTTTTTTTTTTTTTCTTTTTTTACAATTTGCATTTTGCGGCCAGGCGTCCCAGTTTAACGTGTAATTGATAGCTGAGCCAGGGTTCTCTTATCGGTTTGATATACTATGATTTTATGCATCCCTAAGCTGACATTGAGTTCGTTTATCATTATTCCAACAGTTCTCCGTCTCGTGGGTTTCTATTGTCACGTTGTATGCCTTCGCCTCCAGCATCGTCGTAATTATTATTTTAGGTCGCCAAATCAGTTCAATGTTTATTGTGAATTAAAATATGTTTTTTTTTTCTTCTAATTATTTTCCAATCTCTTCTCTTTCGCATCCCCACCCGCAACTTTTGTCAAGCCCCCCAATTCACAGCTGGTTAGACATCTCTAGTGTTCTTCGACTAAAGACCAAATCTGACCTTGGTAACCTTTGGTTCCATTAAAAAAAAGTTATTTAAAAAAAAAGTAAAGATCCCTTTCCGCGCCTTTAAGCGTATCGGGCATATGGGAAGAGCGTTCATATTTTTACAGACCATCAGCACTCGGTGGATAGTGTGGTCAGCATAACGCCGGCTGTCTTTACTTTCCCAGGACAGCCCATCCTGGTACCCATTTTAGGCTGGGTCGACCTACGACGCCCTGTACCATGATAAAAATTTACGCAGCCAGCAGTGGGTTTCGATCGCGGTACGCTGGCTTACGAGTCGGACTCGCAATGCCTAAGCCACGGACGCCGCCTTTGGTTCTATAAAAAATTAAAAAAAAAAAAACGGATCGCTTTTGTAATTTGTACTGTTTGCATCGCTATTCCCCCCCCCCCCTTTCAACAACATGTACATTGTTTTTACTACTGTGACATTTTGTCTTTCAGATCAACAGGATTGTCACACCAAATCGAGTGTCCATCACCATAGTGGGATTTTTCGTCGTACTTATATTTTGTGCAGCCCCTTCCTATGCGGTCAACAGGCTAGAAACAGTGTACCTAACAGCCTTAAATAAAACAGTCTTGGTACTGGCTCATTCACCAAACCATGACCTTGTTGAGAAAGTTTCATTTACAGTCAATAACGTATTAATTCCATTTGCATCTTTCATTGTCATTATCGTCTGTACAGTAGCACTTGTCATCAAACTACACGAGGCATCTAAATGGCGGAGCAAGTCAGCGAATAACGTACAATCAGACACGGTGACTAATCGAAACCACAAAGTGACTAAAATGGTAGTGATGATTTCAAGTCTTTTTATCGTCTGCTTTACTCCGGTTTGCATTAACTTTATAGCTATGACTTTAGAACCAGAGCTGTCAATTGGAGGCAGGTACATGAATGTTTTAATAATGATCATGGGCCTCGGCTTTGTCCTGGAATCTATAAATTCTTCCATGAACATTTTCATCTATTATCAAATGAGCAGTAAATTCAGAGCCACGTTTTGTCAATTATTCCGAAGAGATTTTGCAAAAGACATTTATTTTTCATAATAAGTATACAAGGTAAGGGAAAAAAAAAAACATTCTTCGCGCATTATAAATATGACATTCCATATTTCTATGCAAAATAATCAGTACACGAATAAATTAATGTCACAAAGCTTAATTTTATGTCCAAAGTATCTGTGAATTTACCAAAGTAAATTTGTCAATGGAACCAGACCAAAAAAAAGCAGTATCGTTTTTGTTATTGACACTGGTGTTGTTCTTCTGTGTCTTCATAATTCCTTGTCTTTCTTTCTTTCTTTCTTTCTTTCTTTCTTTCTTTCTTTCTTTCTTTCTTTCTTTCTTTCTTTCTTTCTTTCTTTCTTTCTTTCTTTCTTTCTTTCTTTCTTTCTTTCTTTTTCTTTCTTTCTTTCTTTTCTTTCTTTCTTTCTTTTTCTTTCTTTCTTTCTTTCTTTCTTTTTCTTTCTTTCTTTCTTTCTTTCTTTCTTTCTTTCTTTCTTTCTTTCTTTCTTTCTTTCTTTCTTTCTTTTTTTCTTTTTTCTTTCTTTCTTTCTTTCTTTCTTTCTTTCTTTCTTTCTTTCTTTCTTTCTTTCTTTCTTTCTTTCTTTCTTTCTTTCTTTCTTTCTTTCTTTCTTTCTTTCTTTCTTTCTTTCTTTCTTTCTTTCTTTCTTTTCTTTCCTTCTTTCTATCTGACCAGTAAATGTTAGAGAAGATACGGAAGGGTAACAAATTAGTAAGCATATTGCGGAGGAATCACACACAGCAGAAGTTGAGTTGAGTTGAGTCAAGAATTTACATCACAGTACTCGGGAAATTCCCATCCCCGCTTCGTCCTCATCTTCAGCAGCCAGCGCAATGTTCTAATACGCCGGGCCTATAGACTCCATAAGGACATCCATTGCCTCTTCCCAAGCAGGCAGGCTCTATTACTTCGGTTATTTCCTGCTCTATAAAAACTTCAACATATGGATTAGTCATTTTCATTCAAGAAGAATTGTCGCCAGAGCTACAGAGCACGTGCTCTGCGCTCGACGTCATCTTTCAGCAAGCAGTGAAGAGAGAGTGAAGGGGAGAAAACGAGGAAACACAGCAGAAGTCTAACGATCATCAGTAGCTACTGATCCTTTTGTCCACTAATGTTTCGGTTCGTTTAACCCCACACACGTTCCTTTTGTGCCCATCTTGCAACAAACGACTCGACTATGCGGCCTTCCATTTAAAATCGACGGTTGAGACATTTCCATGCTTAGTTTAACGACCACGCTCGGCAGAATGACCCGTCTGCTTGCACGACCAGATTGACAGTTGGTTGGTTCATTGGAGAATATTCTAGACAAGGATACCAGTGATGTTATGGAAAGGTAAATACATTTATTTGTATAATAGACCCTAACCCTTTGACGTGCAGTTGCATGCCTTCTCACATTCCAGGCCATGGCAATTGAGGTGTGATGACCTGTCCTGTTGTCTTCATCTTTACTTCGTCGGAAATTTCTAGACAGTTCTGGAAATTGTCTGTAATAATTTTTGTGTTTTCGGAGTTTCAGGAGCGGAAAGGGTGGGGATTGGGGGGGGGGGGGGTGGAGTGAAACCCACTGTCGTCCTCATCGGTAACAATCTTAACATTTCGGGCTTTAGAACTCGTTTACTGTCGTGAGCAGACAGACCTGCAAACACTTGGTGTTTCCAACAGGAAAGAGAAGGCTAACCAGAGAGATGAATGGAGGCGGGTGATATCTGCAGCATTGAACCTTAAGGGATCGGAATGCTGAAGAAGAAGATCTTCGAAAACTTAAAATTAAAAAAAAACAAAATAGTCTTCTCTTGCCGGTCACGAATCGTGGATATGATGCCAGACTTATGTTTTTTAGACAGACGGCACTTGATGGAGGATATCGTCCCATCACCTCGGCCTTGAACTTTCCAGGATCTGATCCACACTGGAAAAAAAGTCAATAAAAAAAAAGTATTCCTACACACCCTCACTCTTACTCGCACTCTTCACTGTAGGCAGACTCGAACCCAAGATATTGGAACAAGAGCGACAGTATGAAATATATAGTGAACGGAAAGTAAAATATCAATGTTCTACGCCGTTAGGCGTGTTAGGCATAGTGTGCTATAGCTACATTTAAGACCCGTCGGCACTCAGTAATCAATATCACATTGGCCGTCTTTACTTCCCAGAACTTTGCCAGGTACCCATTTCAGGTCGTAATAAAAAAAAAAAATTCATGCACCATGCTGACTCAAACACACGACAGTCTTTCTGTTAGCAGGTGAGCGTCTATCCGCTTTACCACTGTGGCTGCCGGAGCAAAATATACTACTAATATTTTTTAATTAACCATTCTTTCCCCCCAAGGCGTCAAATTTTTGACAGAATATGAATCAAAGCAATGTTTCCCAATTGTAAATTTGAAAAAAAGAAGAGACACAAACAATAGATTGCATAATTTATTGCCTGGCATATTTCGCTGTATTTTGTCAAGTGCATACTAGGTTAGTTTGCGTATCCTTTACAGGACGTAGCAGAACCAACCCCAACAGCCCCAGGCGCATGGCCAACAACTGCGATCGAACCCGGCATCCCGGCATTACGAAGCGTTCGCATCGACTTAGCCACAGAGCCGACCAAGTGCATATTACAGTAACAATTACATAAATGACGCTAATTAGTCACACCGGCCGCCTTTACTTCCCAGGACTGCACTTTACACCAAATGAAGGCTCGGTCGGCCTTGGGCTCAAGGTCATTTTTGAAAAAAAAAAAATGTCCGACTCCGTTAGGAGGCGAACCCACCACCTTCCGTTGTGCAGGTGGCCTTCTAGCGCCAACGCCACGACGACTCTCCTAGAAGCGCCCATGAGACAGCTGAATTGATATTTTTATGGGGATCAATGTTTTCTCAAAAATGATATGGTAAGCACGATTAAAACTGGTGTGGAACAGATTGAAGATAAACCTGGGTCTAGATAGATAACTTATGTTTGTAATCAAACACTCATTGCCGAATTCAGAACACGGTTAGATGAAGACCGACGTCTCATTCTAATGATGAGATAACAGATAAATACTATGTCGAATTTGATAAACATTGACCCTCATACATTTATCTCCTTGATTCAACTGTCTTTGGAGCACTTTTCTGAGACTGAAGATAATGAGTCTGAATTAGTGTTCACCACTGGCTCCTTGTTACATATTTAACGGTGCAACTTTCACTTGCTAAATAAGCTGGTGAATTAACCTGTTGTCTGCCGACCGGGTGGGGTAACAATTTAGCCAGATCTGCGGTTCGTGCTTTCAAGTCCTGATGGAAGGGGACCCCCACCCCATACCCCCATACCCAAACACACAAATGGTCTTGGTTCCCAGGTAGACTCAGCCCTAAATAGGTATCAGGAAGAGTCCTGGGAAGTTTACTCGGCCTGCGTGATGCTGACCACATCGACCATCATCTGCCGAATGGTATTATAAAATGTACATCTAGCCATATATTTAAGGTGTGGAAAAGATCCTTTTTTTAATACTATAGCTGAAGAGCACCTGCTTAGATGTCATGCTTTGTTTCACGGATAACGTTTTTTTTTTTTTCGCTTAAAAAAGAAGAAACCAGTTTCATTATTTTATGTTGAGACCGCATATGACCATCAACTGAATCAATGGCAGTTGAGATAGGATGGTACATTAATGACACATATGACACATTTACACTGATTCCTCAGTGTGAGAAGCAACAAAACAAACTGATAGGATTTAATAACTATTTGTCATTAGTAAAGGGTGTTGGTTCCGACTAGTATATAAACATTTAGAACCAACGACTGACCATTGTGCCTTTTAGTGTATAGAAATCAGAACAGCACCACCTGGTCATTACACCACAAGTTGTGGAAAGTAGTCTATGCCTTGAATGTGTTCTTTACCGTTTGTTCTTGTGATCCATATATGTCAGCTTGAATCGATTTTTCCCTTAGTGATTATTGATTAGTGATTAAAAAGGATTATCATCACAGCACTCCGAACAGATCCATAGGTGCTCCGATCTCCTCCTCAAAAGCGTCACAAGTGTAAAACGACTAATGATGCCTGTTCTGTGTTAGTTAATGAAACGTCTTGTTTCCTTATTAAAATGTTCATTTCTTGTAGCTCCGGGCTGCAACCCCATGTCTATCAGTCTAGACAGGGATACGGATTCGGGTCTTTTAGTGTGCTCCTCGATACGGTAAGCGCAGCGCATGACATTGATAGCATCACTTCTATCCAGTACTAGGCCAGCCATAGCAAACGCAGTGTCAGCAAGATAGTCTCCACTCTCTTTCTCTTAAACACCCGCATGACCTGGCACAAAGATGAAGGTTAGGGCAGCTATTCGTAAAGTGCTTAGTATTGCAATCCATTATTGCCTGATAAATCCAGTTTGGATAATTTGAGAAAAGGAGATTTTTCCCTTGCGATACGCCAAGCTAGGGGGATCTAATGTCTGTACAGTTCAGTTCTTGAAACCTCTGATAGCTGGGCCTAAAGCGGACATCATAACGACACTTTTGAGGAGTGAAGGTGGCAAAGTTACCCCAATTATTTTTTTCTTCTTCTTTTTCTGAAGGGGTTGTTTTTAATTTACAATAGTAAACTTATAGCGCAAATCTTCATTGTTATGTGTCAAGTATTGTTGGAAGTATATTCTGTCATTTCATTCTATCATGTGTTAGTTGCGTATCCTTTACATGACATTGTAGAACCAACCCCAGCATTTTTTTTGGCTGTTGTGGTTTTATTTAGGCAAATTTACGTCCAGCAGTTCGCCATTACTTACTGGACGGTCGGCTTCTCTGTAACACAGTCGAAACCAACGCAAGGCGCAAAGCCCGCTGCTGGGATTGAACCCGGTACCTCCTCATTACGAAGCACGTTCGCGAAGCCTTAGCCACAGACGCCGACTTAACATGTGTAGTCATTTCAATATCTTGGATTTAATTTAGTCCAGAACTTTTGATTTCAGTTATAAACCTCTTTTTTAGGATGTCTTGGTTTTTGTTTT